CTGCCGTTGTGTTGTCAAGGTCATGACTGCTCTTTAGGGGTTGCCCAGCCGATAAACATGTGTCGTCATTCCCCAGGCAGCAGGGCATTCCTCAAAACTCACGCAAAGAGCCGCACACAAAAACACAAGCGCACAGCATTAAAGGCGGAACGTATTATAACTGTTGCATGTTTAATTGTTCGCAAAACACTTGAGAGTAGACCCAAGACCCTGAGATATTGTACAGTGAAACTTCGACAAAGGAAATCAGAGATATTTTTAGTACTAATATTGAAAACTATTCGTGGGAACTTCAAAATTATATAGTAAAAATTTAAACACAAGCTGAAGATGGATCGTGTAGGATTTAAAGATTTTATGTTAAGAAACTCTTTTAAATAACCTCCATATGTTTTATGTATTTTAATAGATTGATGTGTCATTCAAATTTTTGTAGGGTTTCTACCATATTATCTTAAATAAAAAGTTGATTCTTCCCCTCCATAAGGCGATCAGGCATCTTAAAAGGGCATATCATGTTGATTACTTTTAAAAATGTTTTAGTTATACAATATACCTTTAATTCTTGCTCTACATAACGTGATCAGGCAGGCTAAAAGGGCTTGTCATGATGATTATTTATATAATTTTGAAGATGTTTTAGGTACATATAACCCATAGAAACATTGATCTTTCCTAACGGTTTTGTGTGAACTTTGTTTGCAACTGATTTGAGTTGTTCTAGAAGGTCTCACTGTGGCGGCAAGAGGGATACGGATACCGATTCCATCTGAACGCCCCGTGGTGCAGTCTTAAGTGGATTTCCACCTTAAGTTGCATTTGTATTGCTGTTGTTGTTGCTGTGCACGTTGCACATAGCCGCGTTTTGTTGTTATTGCCGTTGCTGCTGGCGTGTCAATGACGTTGCAAGCCTTTTGTTTGTCTTTTTACCTAGCCAGGTATCCTGGCGCCGGCTTAATTTACGGAAAAGGTAAAAGGTAAAGCGCAGGTAAAACGCCTCAAAGTAGTTCAAGTCCAATCAGCATGCTCTCTCGCTCTCACACACACACACTGTGCACATGGAAGCACACCTTTACCCATACTAATGCAGAGATTATCCACTCACCCGCACACGTTGTTGTTGTTGCTGTTGTTGCCGTAAAAACTAACACTAATCTGATATACGTATGTATGTATTGCGGCCCGGCCGCGGGGTTGCCCAGATTTTAGTGTTGTTTCTGTTGCTTCTTCTATTGTATTCTCGAGAGGGGGATCTCTCTTTCGACTTTTGTTTATTTTGAATTTTCACAGTTTTTCTTGGAATTCCTTGCTCTTGCTCTTGCTCACTCGCACACGCACTTATTCACTCGCTCTTCTTTTATGTTGTTGCTGTATTATTTTTGGAGAGAGACTTTGAATTTTGCACTTTGATTTCATGTGTGTTTCGTTTCATATACTATTTTCGCTTTTGCACCGCTGCTAATTAGCATATTATGACATTCATTTGGCTGTAACCTTTTCCTCTTCGCCTCCTCCTCTCTTTTTCACACTTTTTCGCGCTATGATCTAATTTGATTAATACAAAACTTGTTGTGGCGGCTGCACTCGCACTTCTCGCCCACACACACTATTTTATGCACAAACACACGCGCGTATTTGCCGTTCTTTTGTGGTTTCTTGTTTGCCTTTTGTTTATGTTGCGCTGCGTTGTTTATTCCGATTCCGACTTATTCGAATATTCATCGTCGAAATAGCATAGCCGCGCCGCACCGAACAACCGAATAACCGACAACCACACCGAACGACGAAAGATCGAAGAATGGCGGGCCTCGAGAGTTTTTTTCGACGCCGGCAGCGACGCGGGCAGCGCAACAGGCAGCGACGCCTAGCTTAACCCTTGGGCGCCCGAAAGAGCAGTGTTTCTGCGAGGTAATCAAACTCAACGCAGGTGTCAACTCTACTTACAAGATCGGTTTAAAGTTTGAAGATCTACCTTGTTAATGTTTTTAGCTATTATCAGTTTTTAACTTGTTTGACCCGCCGCCATAAAAATTTGTTTTTAATATCTTCTCAATTTATCTCGTTCGTTATCGAAACTTTTAGATATCACCGTCATGAGTAAATTATACAGTAGTAAAAACCTGTTTCTAGAAAGTTTTACTATTACTTATGTATTTTAATCTTTGTTATATTATTCTATCTCGTGATCAACTTTTTGCTTTGGATTTCATACGAAAGAGATACTTATTATTTTATTACGCCCTTACCGGCTTTTTTTATTAGTAATTTTCTAAGGAAACCGTGATAGTTTTTATACAAGTTATCATCTTGCAAATAAAAAAAAAATGTTTATTTATTTTGACTTAAGTAAGAAGAAGATTCCAGTACTATAATAGCGTGAATAACTTTTATAAACAATGAGTGAGCTTGTTGTAAATCAGAACTATTATAAGTTTAAGTCATGGGCATACATAAGATTTTCTTCTGCTAACCCTCAAGGGTTAATAGAACCGATCAACTGTTTCGCTCTGTCAAACGTCATCGTGTGGGCAAATATAGTTGTGCCTATTTTAGCACTGCACCCCAAAACACAATTAATTCTAGCAATTAGATATTCATGTTTGGCGCTTAGCATATCGTTTTCGCTTATGTTATTCCGTTGCATCATCATTTAACGGTTGGTTAGCTTAACCCCACAGTGCCTGAACCGCCCCTGGGCGAATGATTAACAATAACCGGCAAGAACAAGAACAACGTGAGGAGAAGCAGAACACAACAGAAACAACAACTGAAGCAAGTGAACTGGCGTCGCCAAGTCGTCGGCGTCACTCTATGTGTGTTTGTGTGTGAGTGAGAGCGACTGTTGCGTCTGCGAGTGTTCTTATCGCATGCCAGCTCTTTCCCCCTAACGTGATTTTCGTGCCCCAGCAGACATATGGCGCTGTTGCGCTCTCTTTCCACGAAATGAGCAAAATCACTTTCCTCCTCCCCCCTCCCTTAAACATCTCTTCTGCTTCTTCTTCTTCTTATAATACCCTATACTCAAAAAGTATGCTATGGTTACTATAATATCTCTATGCAACAGGAAAAATACACTTGATAAACTAATTGTTCATAAAGTTAAAATTTAATTTTTAAAATAATTAAGTTATCAACCTGGAATATGTAAAATTGAATATTTTTATAAAATCTTAAATTAAATGGATAATTATAAATATACTCAGGTCAGCGATTTTTTTCAGTCCGTTCTTATGTCAATTACTTTATCCTTCTTAAACAAAATACCCATACATTTCATACTGTGAATTCAGTACTTTGTAAGGTCCTATTATCTCTTAAAAATTCTGATCTTAAATGTATCTGATTTTAAAAGTATCTGTATCTGAATTTCAAAGATACAGATACATCTGATAGTAAGTATCTCGAAGTCGAGTATCTCGATCATAGGCATTCTTTCTGGTTTCATTTGTATTTCGCTGCGTATTTTTCTACCGCGAGGGAAGCCCGCCCGCAAAATGTTCTATTGTTATTGTTGTAATTGCTTTGTTAAATAAAAAACAAAACAAGAAGAAGAACGCGTAAAGTGAGCGCCGCGTTCTTGTCTTATTAGATCAATTGGTTTTGCACTTTTTGCTGTTGTACTGTAGCGCTGCCGCTTTGTGGGGTTTATTTATACATTTTTATTCTATTTCCCCCGCTGAGCGCCACCATTTCAGTGTACAGTTTTTGTTTGCTAATTTATAGTTAAAGTTTGTTTTTGGGTTGAGCAATTGCAAAACTTGGGGCTCTAATTGATTTAAGCATTCTAGGTGTCACGTTCAATTAACAGCATTTGTTATAATTGGAGTAGTTTCTTTTGTAGAACGTAGAGGAACCTTTACATAAAACACTTTCCATACATTTTGTAAACATACTTAAATATATTTATTATATTAAATATATGTAATACATCAAGTTTGTATTAAATGTGTACAATGATAAATGATTTACAATAAATCTTGAACGGCTTTCTTGATTATATTAAAAGCATACCCATTGAACTGTTAATGAAATCATTTAGTTGTATATTTATTTCTGGCACCCGTAAAAACGTTCCATAAATCACTTTCCTTCTTTTCACACCCATTAAAAATCGATCTCTGATAACGACAGCGAATTACCCAAAGAGCTTGACAACAACAATTGTATCAGAAATGCTGAAAATCCCCTGAAGTCTGAAACTTTCTGTGCCAAATCGAACGGAAGCGCTTCGATAAGAACTATCACACACACGCGGTCTCAATATGGAAAATACATTCATACATATGTACATGCCATAGGAATAGTTTTTTGATGTGTGTTCAGATGTACATTTATTTGGACAGTTGACGTACGATAACGCTCAACACTTGGTCGCCGATGATATCACGAAGAAAGGTAAACAATCTAATCAATAAACACAATCAAGCGAGGACGAGTGGTACGCACTCATCTATTAGAGCAACACGTATATATAGACATGTCTACATACGTGTATATATGTACACAGGAAGAAATAATCGGTTATTCAGGGATTCTGTGACATCAGAATTTTATTTTAAAACATTTCGATATGCTATTCTTCATCATACTAATACGTTTTTTTATTTGAACGGACATTGTATATAACAAGAAGATTTTATAGTCTTGATAAGATTATGATTATTTTGATAGTAGAAAATGACAGCATAAAACTTATATTGGTATGTCTGGAAAGTTGAATTCCTATTGTTTTATTGCAACTGAGGTTTTTTAACAGATGTATGTGATAAGGTAATGATATATAATGATATCATTAAAAGATTTTAAACTTGGAGTATTATAGTTTCACGAGAAAAATCTTCATGGGTATCTTATGATTTTAAATCATGAAATAACAATGTTACAAACTGATCTTTAGATATAAGCCATTATTTAGGTACATATATCACTTAAAACAATTTGTCACCTTAGTCATAGATACGTTTGGAAACTGTTTAATCTATTCAATAGCTGTAGTTTTTCTGGGTGTACGTATACGAGTATCCGTATCTGTGTATTACCAGTTGTTGGTACTCGTGACGAGCTCGTACGATTAATCGAACAGGCGACGCTGCCACATGCACGCGACGATTGATTACAGCAATAAAACGTCTATCGCATCGATTGATTTAAAAATATAAACCCACACACACACAGATACATACATGAGCAGAGCCATCCCAAATGATCGGCAATTGGGCTGCACGGCAGCAATTAACCGGGCATCTGTATCGGAGTATCTGTGCGAGCGGCGAGTATCTGTGTGTTAGTGGCGAGTATCTGCGAGTCTGGCAAACATAAATAGGCACAAGTGGCCGGCCCCAAAAGTGCAGCAATGGCAACAGCACCAACAATAACAACAACAATAACAACAACACCCAGCGTACGTCGCCCCCGATGGGTTCTTACTCATTCACGCATTGGGTAATCGATACACTCGCAGACACACATGGAGAAACGCTGCTCAGCCGCCGCCAAATGAAACCATTAAGCGCTACATAAAACAGTCGTCGTCGGGGGATGTCGTGGGTTAAGGGGCTACGCAGGGGTACGGTGGTGCTGGGGCGACGCTGGAAACATTGCAACCAGAAGCTACGATCGCCAGTGCCGCCAAAGTGGCGACAATGCCACACCAAGAGAAATGGGTAACCAATTAAGATATTCTTTATATTTCTTCAAATTCTAATTTTGTATTATTTTAGTGTTCTATTAAAAATAAATCTTTTTAATCTGATGAACGTTAAACATAGTTTCCATTGCTTAGAACCTATTTTTAACAAGGCAGTAACAGCAAAGGCTACATTAAGTTATATGGACGTTATGCATCTTAATGTTTATATATGCCTTGATAGTGTTTTCTTTATTTTTAATTCTCACTTTGAAATAAATTACTATATTTATTAAAGAATGTATTTTTAAACAAAACAGAAACATATATAAAAAATAATAAAAATAGAAGATCAGTTGTAAAAGAGTTATTTTAAGAAAAATAATATTTTATAGAGATGCCTATGCAATATTATAAGTGATCGCTACTTTTCTAAGCTCTAGTTAAAAAAGTTGATCATAAATAAAACTATAAAACCATCAAATAAATACCACATATGAAATAAATCAAATACAATTTTTTAAGAAATGACTGAATATTCCCAAAAATGTGTGATGAAGTGAGTGAATAAAATAGATTTCCCTGATTTTTTCCAGTGCAACTTTGGCTCCAAACTCCGGCGCAGACAGACAAGGCAAACAATCAGAGAGCCAGGCAGCAACGGCAACAGCAACAGCAACAACACAACACGGCGACGTGATCATGTCTGGCCCGTTCAGCCGTTCAACCGTTCAGCAAATGTTGGCGACGTCGTCGCCGTTCGGCGGCTCCAACTTTGTTATTATTACCGCTCGTGCACATGCCCACAACTGCCCACGATTCGATGATGTTGCCGCCGTCCGCAGAGCAAACAGGTTTGACCATTCACTTGAACTGCTTTTGGGAGTCGCCATCGATGGTATGGCAGGGGGAGGGGGCTGTACCAGGGTGGGCAGTACCAGGGGAAGGCTTCTTCTTCGTCATCGACATTAAACGTAATCAATAGAGCGAACTTCTTTAATTGAGCATCGTCAACGTGCGAGAGACAAAAGCGAAGCGACAATCAAAACTAATTGAATGCACAGTGCAAAAAAAACCATAATAAGATACAAGAAGGAGGATTGATTGCCTTTCGGGAAGTTATTAGCTCACGGAAAAAAATATTTTTGATATAAAAAATATGAAAATAAATATAGGTACTCTCAAGTGTTCTTATTCTTATTGTGTTAGGAATCCTCGGGGAGAGATTTGGAAAACATTATTTAATAATAATATTTAATATACGCAAAACTTGTAAATATCTTGAAGGATAATCTGTTCTCTTCTAATATTTTAAAATTTTACCAAATTTGTTGATTATAATAGATTCCTTCAAGATCATGTATACACCTTTTAAACCAGGGTTTTATAAAAAACCATACTTATGGAATCGATTTAAAAATAATGTACCCTATTTTACTGTGCTGCATTAATAAGTATTATATTCCAAAACCAAATTTCCATTTCATCTATAATTACATGGCACATAACAACCCGCCTAATTACGCATTGCATAGTTATGGGCGTTATCGATTTTGGAAGCCGCTTAGTCCAAATGGCAAGTTGATGGACAGGCCAGCCAGACAATTTCAGTCTATGTAGAACGAGTATTATGCGGTTGTCATGGGGAAACTCCCCAGATAGAGTTTATGATGGATTGGGAGTAGTGTTGGGTAAACATGTTTAAGTGAGTAAATAAACTCGTTCATTTAGCACACTCAGCTATTCAGTTGCTCACTTATTCAGGGAGTAGCATCAGTAATAAATTTGATCCCATGGTTATTAGACTGAGGAAAGTCCGCTCCTATATATTCATTTTTGGAGGTCTCGGTTAGAGGTCACAACAGAAGATAAGTATGAGTAAACAAATTTTAGGGCTAATTATTCTTAGATCCTAACTTTATAAAGTCATAACGATTTAAACATAAACTGTAAGCGAGAGAACTCTCTTGAAGTGGGTTAATGGAAAATTATTCTTTCTTAGTGAACTAAAAATAATGTGGCTAATCAAGGAGGAATCATTTTTCTGAAAATTCCGAGCTGATTTCCAAGAAATCGGATGCCCATCCGAGCAGTTCGATCCGCACTATCAGTAGGTGGCCTTTCCATTGAAAGGCTATCGCTTTGGCTCCAGAGTTTCTTAGTCAGACAGCCTGGTGGTGATGGTGGTGGTGGATTCGATTCCATTCGAATCGACTCAAAAGTGACTGCATGCGTCAGCACTGAATAAATAAACGTAGACGCCCAGACCTTAGTCAACTGCCAACTACAAGTTTTCGACATTAAATGTATATAGTAGGCACAAACAGAACTGACCGCGTGGAGCTTTGGGTGTTTGAGGCCGCTTAACTTGGCCATTATGGGACTGCCGACTGCCGATTGCTCATTTGTTGACACGCAACACTGGCTTTTGGCCGTTGGCAGTCAACAGAAAATTTAGTGTGAGTAACACTGCGCCGGGGGACAGAGGTGGAATAATCAGCGAAAACAGCCGCCCAGTGCGGATTTCAGTTATTTTAGTTTGTTTGCCCAACCTCAACTATCCAAAAACAACAATCAGAAAAGCCCCCTGGGGCTGTAAACGATGAATCAAGTGGAATTTACATATATTGGTAGATCCATCTGCCTCGCATTAAAGGTAGCTGCACTAAAGTTATATAAATGCGGAAATTTCTATGACTAGATCTATAGTAAGGGGTATATTAAATCTTTATTTATGATCAATTTGTATCTAAAAATGTAATAGTATTAAAGAAGCTCTAAGAAAGTTTTTAAAGAAATTGGTTTAAAAAAATGTAAGACAAAATCTTTGTTGTATAGGTATCTATAAATGTAATGGTATTAAGAAGGACCTGAAGAAGCTCTACGAAAAAAAAAATTTAGTTCTTTATAAGGATTATTTTTACATTACAAGGCTACATTACATAAATATTTGTAAATGTTAATCAATAAATTTTGTAGCATTGCACAAGGTCTATATATATTTAAATATTTCTTTTGATAAATCTGGCTATTAAAAAATGTAAATGTTTTTAGTTCCGAGGTTAGAGTAATAATTATAATCTACATAAATATATTTGTACTAAATTTATTGATGAAAAATATTAGAATTTTGGAGTAACCATTTTCGGGCTAAAAATCTGTACTAATTACTTTCCAATCCCGCCTTAGAGTACTTGATATTCGGAAGTACCCCGGATTCCCAGTTTTGTGTACACTAGACGAGAGTGGATGCCTCTGGCGGCTGCTGTTGCTCCGGCTGATTGGGAATCGCCAGTTTGGCGACTGGGCTCGCACAGCTACGGATACAGATAGAGATACTCACTGGCAGCGGCCAGAGATACAGATACAGCTACAGCCACAGATACAGATACTTTTGTACACATTCTTCGGCACGACGCTTGTCGACGTACTTGTAGCGTCTATAAAATCGCTTTATATTAAGCACCGAGAGCAGTAAATAAAACGCAAAACGCGGCGATCGCAGACGAACGACGCCAACGAAAATATGCCTTGGAATGTTCAGATCTCCGAGACTCTCTGATTGTCGCCCATACGCATATGTATCTCGAAATCTGCATCTAAATCGGATTTTCTTGACTGTAACTGCATGGGCTTTTGGGCTTGTTTGCCATTCCTTTTGTTGGCCACATCATGGCCGCATATTTGCATACGCCAGCAGCTGTTTACAGTTTCACATGTCAGCTAATTGAATCGGTTTAGCTATGCTTTTGCTACTTTTCAACTGGCCCAGACATCAGCGAGACAGCTTAATCACTTGCGTCAATGGATTTGCTGGCTGCTTACCTGGCCGGAACGAAAACGTAAGAACAAAACTGAAATAGTGCTAGAACAGACGGATTGGCATCATTATGCGGGGCAGTAGAATTTCCCGGGTAAAACCCATAAAATCATCAATAGACCCTCACAGCGAAGGGATATAATCAGGGCTTGCATGGCCAATGGCCACTTGACTTGACGTACTTAAGCCCGGCGCTAGGCCAACAGCCAAAGGTCCTAAATCCTCGACAGGTCAGACTTTAAGGCTCGATGCCATTAAAATTGCCATGGCAGCATATTCAAATTACACCCATCTAGAGATTTTTGGGTTGAGCAGGTAGGTTTGGATGGCCTAGGACACTTCTGGTGAAAATCCTTGCCGGGTTTCCTTTTTCACACAAATGTATCTTTGATGTTGTAAATGGGATTTAATTGTTAAGATGCTGTTAAAGATATTTCTTATAAATATTCTTTAACGATACTTTTAATCTGAGAGCAAATTATTTTTGAGATCGATGTATAAAAAATTTTTTTATTTATTTAAACCTAATTCCTAATTATTTTCCTATAAATATTAAATATTTTCGGCAAAGGTAGATAATCATTTATTTGTTAAGTAGACATTCTTATTTTTTTTAATTTTAATTGAAATAAGGTAAGTATTTTATATACCTTTTCTTTAGAAACCACTCCATTTACGTTATCGCAGTGATATCATTATTATTGGTATCTACGTCACGTTTGAGCTTATCGGAATGAAAGTGAAATGCGGCTGACTTCGGCAAAGTAACTATAATCGCATAATCTTCTCCGATACGCTTGCACACACACACACATTCGGATTCAAAGATACTTTATTGTGGCTGATTTGTATAGATGTACGTGTGTAAGTACTGGATTGCCTTAGTTATATATAAACCAGAAGTATCGGTGTGTGAACTCTGTCGTGAATCACGCCATTTGGTCTTATCAAGCAAAGCTCTCATCGCCTCTATTTCATTATTTCATGCCTATGTACTGAGCACGCACTTTATCAATATTGCTAAGCACTCGCTTATGTATCTGTGAGATTGCTTTGTGCTTGGCACCCATAACAACTGTATTAAACGGCATTCGACATGAGTGGCATACCATCTGCTTTCCCCACCTCGATTACCCATAGATAAACATTACTATTTCTTTTTTTTCCGGGAAACTTTTGTTGCTAGACCTCTGAAGGTCATCGCTATATCTCTCAGTAAATTTCTCTATCGTAGATCTTATAGATTTGATTGAAAACTATAGAGGGGCCCTTGGTTTATAAACGGCGATAGCTGGTAACACATTGCCAGTTTTTCTCTGAGTCATGGTAGGTAAATTGATTGAGTTATCAGGCCAACCGCTATATAAGCAATGAGATTTCTACCCAGCAGATGGGGAATTGAAATAACTAAATGGGGAATTCAGGGATCCAATATTGAGACTTAATCTTAATGATGATGTGAACTTATTCATTCTTCAGCATTATTATTTTCAAAACAAAATCAAAAATGTCAACTCACCTTTAAGTTTTTCACGCGCCGTTTCCAAAGCATTCTTGCGTGAATTCACAGTAGATTCTGAAAATAAAAAAAATATATATTAGTATAAAAGAATTCGTTAGTGTTCTACATATACACTGTACAATTTTCAAGTGCATTTTCAATGTTGTATTCGAGACAAAGCTCGCCCACAAAAACGGCCGCTGGCATTTCACTTGGTGACGTCAAAAACGAAGGCCAGGAAAATACCAAAGAGTACGGGAAAATCGAACTGAGGAAAGCACAACATCTGACACACAGATACACACATCTATACTACACTTCATAGTCAATAAAGTATTCAAATGGCGTGGGGGAAAAACCGAAAAGAAGCAGAGCCAACTGTTGCCAATTTCCATGGGGGCGTGGAAAATCCGAAATGGCGGCAGACGGAGGCCATCAAACCAAGCTGAAAATTCATTTCCACCCAAAAATGTTTACAAGCCCATTCGGTTGCGCTCTTTAGCTAATTTTAAAATAGACACACGCTTTGTGGGAGAATCTCTTTCTGCGCGTACCGATATAATTTGAAATATTTCGCTGAATTTTAGCGCAAAGTGAACGTGAAAAACGCATTGACGAGTGGCCAAAAATACCAGGCGATGTTCCTGCCAAATTGTGGCGAAATTCCCAATGATGGTACTAAAAATACATCTAATGGGTATAAAACAAACAAGCATTTCCGATGAAAAATCTTTGGGATTCGTTTTGCTCAACAGCTGCTTCAGACTTTTGAATGACGCACTTTTTTTTACGGAATGATAAGAAAGAGTGGGCTTCTTAAAGACAAAAAACCAAGTATAAACATTTTTTTAAAATTATTTTTGGTCCCATTCGTAATGCTTAAAATTTTGTGATTACATGAAATAAATATATGAATTCATTTTTACAAATTTAGCTTAGAGTCTTATCTGTTTAATGTGCTATACTTTATAATATACGCAATTTAAATTTCAGTCTTCTATTTCAGTCATAATTGTTCATGCCAGGAAGTACCCCAATTTCCATGTAGACCATTTAATAACGATTGCTGCCTTTGAATGGGGCATGATGACTGCTTATCGGCAGTCGTCAATTTTATAGAATAGATGTTCTGTAGCGCACTCGAGTTAAGTCGCCTCGAGTGGCTGCACTTTGAACGCATCAGCGATAAGCTAAAGATTCTGATCCCCTCTTGAAATCGGGCCCCCGTAAATATGCAAGTCAAATTGGCTAGAGCTCGGGTTTTTGCTAAAAAGAAAAAAATATAGAAGAGAGGCAGTAGCATGATGGAGAGGAAAAAAACCTGCATGCAAATTAAAGCAGGCACCAGGCTAACAGCAATGCAAGGCAGGCAGCCAGCTGGTGGATGTGGCTGAGAACAAGAAACCTGGCCAAGTGCAGAAATCGGAAAAGAAGTTGGCCCAGGTAGCCGCGAAAGCCGAGAACGCGGCCCCGATTGCGCACGCATCTCCAATCGCATCTCCAAGTTCCAGCGTTTTTACCACCTGCCGCACTTGTTTATGGCCGCGACTTGTTGGCGACCAACTTTGGCTTTGGCCGCTGCTTCTCTTTTTTTCCAGCCAAAGCGGAAACATGCGCATCAAAGCAGCATCAGCAGTCACACAGAGAGAAAAAAGATACGAAAACTACCAAAAATATGAATGGTAAGTCCTATTTTAACTAGATAAATTTGCATAGGGATTACCTCATTATAAAGGTGTCTAAAAGTATGCTACCATGTTTTTTCAGGCAAAGTTATGTTACGGAATGACTAGGTTTTTCTTTTCACAGCATACTTTTAGACACCTTATAAAGTCGGTCCCAAGTAATATTGTCAGAAATGTAAGTCCTATTTAAAGTACAAAAATGTACCCGAAGATTACCTCATTACAAGGTGTCTAAAAGTATGCTACGATATCTTTTCAGGCGAATCGAACCAAGCTATATTACCGGAGGGTCATTTTTTTACATCATACTTTTAGACACCTTTTAAAGCGAGTACCAAATATAATTGCCAGAAACGTAAGTCCTACAAATTTACAAGGTGATTACCTCTTTACAAGGTGTTTAAAAATATACTACGATTTTTTTTCAGGACCATCGAACCAAGGTATAGTTATATATATCTAATCATAGGACCTTGTTCTTTTTCGCACAGCATATTTTTGTGGTACCCTTAATAAAAATTATATTATATGTTTATAGCCACATTAAATCCGATACGTATTTTTTATAATTTGGGTTCTTTACTCATATAAAATAAAATTGAAATCGTTTAAAATACATTGTACTTAATAATGTCACTTTATTACAATCCTTATCAAATAAAGTTTAAATCGTTTAAAATATATTTAAAGCTAATCATATTTATTTTTTATACCCGTATCAAACATTTGATTTGAAGTTTACATATATCAATAAATCATCTGCTGATAAAGCTTTTTGGAAAATTTAAAATTAAGCTTATCAGGGCCCTACGTTTTTTTCTTTGTGCATCGCAGATTGAAATTGGCAATGTCGTCGTCATCGGCTTTTGAGCCTCTTTTCTTTTGGCTCTTGGACATGGTCTTTTTTTTTTGCTCGAGAAAACTGGTTACGAGGTTGCTGCAACCAGTTTAGCAGTTTATTCACTGAATGTGTGTACGTTTCTGTGTGTGATTGGGGGAAGCCTCTCATCGTCGTCGTCGTTGTTGTTGTTATTGTTGCTTTTGTTGTTGCTGCTGGCTTACTAATTGTTGGCTCGAATGTTTATAGAACAATTAACATTTGCGGCTCATTACGCATACGCTGGGGCGCATGAGCTCAGCTAGCTGAGTAGCGATGCGATGCGATGCGATGCCATGTGATGCGATCATAGCCAGTGGGGCGTATGAGTAATGTCCCTTGAGGGGCGAGGAATACCGAATACCGAATACTGACAATGAAATGATTCAGCCATTTGTGGGTAGTTGTTTATTTATAGAGATGGGTTCTGGGTGATTTCCGTTTTGATAAACAAACCGAGGGATTGATTCCAGACGATAGAGGGGGCTTTCTTATAAACTTTAGTCAACTTTTATTTGCAATAAATCAGAAAGGAAATATAAAATGATTAACCAACCAATGTAAACAGAGATAAACAATATTTAGAACTATAAATATTTGTATTTACTATTCACTGGGAATCTCTAAGTCAAATATAAGATATATAAGATATCTAGTAAGGTGGCAAAGGAAATGCCTTAGAAAATGAATGCTAGAGGAGAATCTGCAGATAAGAGTTCGAGAAAAATGTATACAAAAGTTGAGTCCGCAGTTCAGGTAATAAAAATTCAGTTTGAAGCGTCGCAATATTTGCAAATCGGCCCACTCTAACTTATATACAAACACTCACACCCCCATTTGGCTTTGGGTTTCTCGTCGTTTTCAATTTCATTCGCAACTCAAATTCGTGACGTATGAGCCTGTTGATTGCGTAATATCTGCCGCTGCTGCATTTTAATTTGATTTATTTCAGCCAAGTTTTTGGGCAATTTGATTCACTTGCACTCTGAATACAGCAAAAAAAAATAAATTCGTCATTTTGCTTTGTTCTGGGTGCTACAAGGAAAGAACAAATAGGTAGCCAAAACACAAATTAATGACAAATAAAAGTGCATTTCGAGCATTTTTTGTGCCTGCCAATTTTTTGCAGCTGCTGGCACATTTTATTAAAGACAAAAACAGCCAAAAACGAAAAAAAAGATATAGAAAAGAATATGGTTATGGATATGCACATGGCCCACAGACAGGCGACTTTGGGCAGCTGTTCAAGTTGGCTTCGCGACTTTATCGGGGGTCTTGGATATATGTATATGTATCTAGAGTGCGACCCACATGGAAATATTTGCCTAACTATGCCAAGAATTTGGCCCATGTGCGTGTGGGACTTGCACAACCCATAAACGAGGGGGGTATCCCCACATAACCATTCTCGCAGCCTGACAATTAAATGGCTTCGACTTCCCCGACGCGCTGAACAACTGGAGCAAACTGCTGGAATTCCTGTGACTCCGACATTGTGGCTGCACTATCTACCAATTTGGTCTTATCTCTGAGAACTCGAGTACCTTTGCCTTTTCAATTGTTTTATTTTCCCTCAGACCAACTCACTGACATCCGATTTTACTTGCCTTGAAAGTTGGTTCTTAATATAAATTTTAGGTAAAATGTAATCCCAATAAAACCAAAAACTTGAGCGGGCTTTACTTAACAAAGTTTGGTGTTCCTTAAGAGCTTATTACAAATTCTGTTTGTTGGCTTGCAGTCTGCCATCATTTTAGTTTAGCAACTTTATTAAAAGCTTTTGGCAGTAAGTACAGTATAGCACAGAGATCGAAGAGGATGAGTATTTGAAAGTTATTAAGGATATTGCATTATTAGAAGGTGTATATAAGAGCTGCACATAAATAATAATTTCTAAAATTTATTGTTTACTGATTATAAAATTGCTTACTTCCTGGAATCTTAAATTTATGCATGAAAAAGTTCCCTGAAATTTGGAATTCCCATGTCGAAATAAACAACTAGCGAAAATACGCTAAACATGCGGCGATATCAAGAAAAATACATGTGTGTTTTATACATAGTATGAGTTATGTACATATGTATAAAAAGAGGGCGTGTGGTGGGGCAAGGACATGTGACTATGCAAATGATTATTTGGCGCAAAAAAGTGATAAGAGCCAAAAAAGGTGGATGAAATCTGGAAATAAGAGTGTCGGCGCCCTCAAGCAAAATAAACAGCTGCTAGAAAAAATAAATATTCCAAGAATTATGAATGCAGCAGTTTAATGTAACGACTATAAAATACCTCGCCTTTTAAAATCATTGCCTACTTTTTGGCGATCATATGGGATCAATAATAAGATGGTAAAGAAATGTGTTCTTTTGAATTTCCTATTTGTGGGATCTTTAAGAAAATTGGTATGTTACCGTAGATTTGATAAAAAGCGATTTGTTTTTATATGTATTAAAGATATATAGATACATATGTAGCAGTTTAATGTAACGACTATAAAATACCTCGCCTTTTAAAATCATTGCCTACTTTTTGGCGATCATATGGGATCAATAATAAGATGGTAAAGAAATGTGTTCTTTTGAATTTCCTATTTGTGGGATCTTTAAGAAAATTGGTATGTTACCGTAGATTTGATAAAAAGCGATTTGTTTTTATATGTATTAAAGATATATAGATACATATGTATCTATATCTTAACATTGTAAGTTACGAATATTTTTATTATCACTGATCTGTTACCGTAGATTTAAAAAATAAGCGATTTGCTTAAATTTGTATTAAAGATACAAAGATACATATGTATATATATCTTTACATCGTAAGTTACCAATAGTTTTATTATCACTGATCTGTTACTGTAGATTTGAAAAATAAGGGATTTACTTTTATTTATATTAAAGATACATAGATACATATGTATCTATATCTTTACATCGTAAGTTACCATTGTTCTTATTATTACTGATCTCTTAATTCTTCATATCTTCTTCTTCCTAACTTTAAGAGTTCCGTTTCTTAATCGAATTTAAAATACTCTTTAATTGTACAAGTACCGCATATAAAAATATCACACTTCACTAATCCCCTACACACATACATATATCAATCTAAATATATGCTCGTCTAGTTGAATGAGCGCAAAATGGAATGCCAAAACGCTGACACCGCAATTATCAAAAGTTATTCACTTTTTATGCTTAATTTCCTTTGAATTGCATGCTCTTTCTCGCTCGCTCTCTCCCATTTTAAATACTTTCAATTTGTGTGCTTTCAACATGGCTGTTCAACCGAAAAGAGAGGGAATTCCCTGGGTCGAAATTGAAATTGAAGAGAGCTGCTTGTTGCGCTCTTTTTATTCCAACCGCTCTTTTGAAGAGTATATGTATGTTAGTACATTTATTTTAATGTTTTTTTTTAGTCATAGGCTGATTTTTGTTGTTCTTGTCCGATTATCATTAGCTTTCGTTGTTGTTGTTCTTGCCTTAATTGCCTAGTATTTGTTTTTGCCTCTGGTTCACAAGCGATAAGATTTCACGGGTACTTTTCCCGTTTCTGTCGTCTACTTATTGCTGTTTCTTCTACCCACAAGATACAAATTGAGGAAAATATAGGTGGTAGAATTGGTAATTAGTTCAAGTTCAAGAATTTCAGAAGTAGAATTTAATGGTAAGGTAACTACGTCACTGGACAGTTAAATTATACGTCTTATTTGTTTTTACCTGCGTAAGCCATAATTTAATTTAAAAAAAACATTGCTTTAAACTTTGTAAATGGAAATTTTTATTGAGGACAAGTAACTTAAAACTATATAATTATTAAACTTTTTCTCGAATGTATTAAGATATTAAATTGTACTTCCGTTTCGGAAAATTTCCTAATTCAGAATAAGTTTCTTGGGAAAGTGTAAGCTATATAATTCCGTCTGTACTCCCCGACCTTATCAACCCAATCGCAATTTCAAGCTGGCCCTGTTGAGCAGAATTTATCGCGTCCTTCGGTTACAAAACAAAAAAAAAGCAACAAAAACCACAACAAGTCGAGGAAAAATAAATAAAGATTTATTTCCCGATCTGCGTTAACATAAATTACAGCTCGCCAGGCAAAGCAAAGCCAACAACTTGGGCCAAAGTCTCACAAGCACACAGCGAAGACTACGTCATAGCCATGGTAACATTGTTGCTGTCTGTGTGTAGCGTCCCATTTTGTTTCTATATTGTACTTTATACATATATATTTATTTTCCCTGCCCGGCGAAGATACAAAGATACAGGTCCCAGCGCAAAAATAAAAGTATCTGTTGCTGCTGAGTTCGAACTTCGGAGCATCCTGGCAACGGCAACAGCTGCCAACTTTCGTGTTCGACAAGAAAAAGGCGCAAAAACGAAATCTGTCTGCCTCAGTGTGTGTGTGCACAATTGGCAGTGAGTGTGTGTGCGACAATCCTCAATCAACTGCCTCCACACCTTCTGCAATGTCTGCTGGCTTTAGTACAGTGAAACGTGCTTAGCAAGAACGTAGAATATTGACTCTATATTATACTATATGCCTCACAAATCACTGGGTTTTTGAAATCACTTTTAAATGTCATTTTAGTTGTTTAAAAGAAAGTTAGTTCAATGTATTTAT